GCAACTTGCTACTTGACAGTTTCATGATGCTTTCCGGATGTTTGTATTTACCTTAGATGCCCAAAGTGTTTGGTCAAGGATTCTCGAGTGTCGACTGCTGCTACGTTGGCCAAAGCAAAGTCGTGCAACTCAGGGAAATGAGCAAAGGCCGCCCTCTGCAAGACAGAAAACAAAAAGCAAAATGCTGATATTCAACTACACACTGGAAACATATATAACTCATTATTACACGTTCTAGATTGCCAAGAGAAGCTACTCAAAAAATAACCTGCAAAACCACATTAAAAAGAGCAATATTTCAGAAAAGGGCTGAAAAATTAATCAAAGTATTATTAAAATAGCAATATGGACAAGTGCAATTTTTAGGCAAAATATGTCACAGTAAACCATTTTAGATGAAGGACTGTGGTGCTACTGAGATGTCCCAGTCTATAAATCATATTCTTCAGATGTACGGAAATGTGTTTGTTTGACATAGACCGCAGCAAAAATCACATCATCGTTTTTATATTTTCCTTAATGGGAAAAAAATGCAAAAAAAAACAAAAAACAAAACATTTCAGCTAAAAGTGTTACTCATATCACAATCTCAATATCTGTCACAATAATTGAAGGATTTCATATTCATGCTGCTCTCTCCCTCAGCATGAAGCCATGTTCGCCAAAGGCACAACAACTGCACCAAAGATGTCAGTGAAGAATATCTGAGGCACACTCAATGAAAAAACAACAAGAGCCAATCAAGCAGAAGGTAGCTGATATGCCAAAGTCTGTCTGCCGCCCATCCCTCTTTTCATATATTTACCTGCAGTGAGGTGATTCTGTCATAGTGCAAAGTGGTCATCTCCTTCCCAGTCAAGGCATTTCCTGTCTGGTCATTGATCTCAAAACCAGTGTAGAACTTCAGCATGTCCAGCAACTAAAAGGTCAGACAATAACACAGGTCAGTTCTAAACAAAGAAAGCATCTGCAGTTTTAGCTACATGCTACGTGTGTGTTGTACCTGGCAGAAGAGGTGTCCCTCCTTTTCTCTGTGGGTGAGGCTGGACAGGTGGCAGCTGACCACCAAATGAGAGTCATCCAGGACTGTATTGAACCAGCGCCTGGTGGGCAGCAGTGCCTAGACAAACAGGACAACATGTTTATACCACTGGAGTGCACTCCTGTAGATGTGGTTAAAATACCACCTGACCTCAAAGCTATTACAACAACTTTGTGTAAGCAGAAGTTCCATCCATCCATTATCTATACACCGCTTAATCCTCACTAGGGTCGCGGGGGGCTGGAGTCTATCCCAGCTGATTTAGGATGAAGGCAGGGGACACCCTGGACAGGTAACCAGTCTATCACAGGGCTACACTTAGAGACAGACAACCAAGCACACTCACATTCACACCTACAGACAATTTACAATCACCAATTAACCTCAACATGTTTTTGGACTGTGGGAGGAAGACGGAGAACCCGGAGAGAACCCACGCTGCACGGGGAGAACATGCAAACTCCACATAGGAAGATCCCAGTCCTCACCGGGACGCGAAGCAGCGACCTTTTTGCTGCGAGGCAACCGAGCCACCTTGCAGCCCCGAAGAGGAACTTGCATGTGCAAAAACGTATACAGGGGAATGTCATTTTGGTGGACGGGACTTAAATAACTCAAGACAAACAACCAGGACTGACAGGAAAATGGCTCCGATTGTCCTCCATCATGGAAAAAATAGTTTGGTATTATATGAACTTCCACCTCTTAGAGGTTAAAGAAATCAATCGACTCAACAGCAACCACGTTTCCCAGCATCTGGATCAGGAATATCCATACATCCTATTGATTAAAGCTCTTTTCTTGTCTTGAGGTTTTTGGTGTTTTTTTTAAACATACAAAAATAAGCCAAACTGTCAATAAGATGTGAAGACAGCAGGGCAAAAACTGGCTCAGCTACTTCTATAGTCATTATTTATTTGCTTGTTGTTTGTAGCACCAGAACATGACATGAAGGCAAGAACAGAGGAAATCTGTCAAAATGTGATAACAGAGCTGCTTTGGTAGGAATATAACAAAGAAACTCTGAACATAGTGATGAACAGACAGTCTGAGTGAGAGGGTGTCTGGTGCATACAGAACCACTCTATAAAAGGCTGGAAGAAAAGAGAACTGCCCAGAAAAAACATGCATAGTGAAACAGAATATGAAATGGAACACTGAGATGCAAAACACAAACAAAACAAAATATCTATTATTTTATTCATTGAAAACTGCTCTTCAAAGGCTGCAGGTGCAGCAAGTGATACCTTAACACTGGGAGAATGGATACCTTTATATCCAGCAGCCATCTTTGATCTCAACACAGTCCTGACAGCCAGCATAAAACAGGCATGATAACGGGGATCTTTTTCCCTGCATTAATTTTCAGGTCGTCATCAGAGAGGGGAAGTATGGATTTCAGGCAACTGAGGCTTTGTAAAAGGATAGTGCTGAAGGACAGGGGACGTCTCTGGAGACAGTCAGCTGGCCGGCCACTAGCCATTGCCAGGAACAGCAAGGCTGGCCTGTCAGCAGTCAGCCAGATGAAAATCTATTGAGCACCTCACTAGTAACACAAGATCTGCCCAAGCAGCAGGACTAACATGTGAAAGTGTCTTCACGCCAACCTCATTGGTCCGGTTGGCTCTCTTTTTTTCTTTACTCACTTCTTAATAAATAAACCAATGTGTTGACATATTTTTAAGATACTGCTGTTTCATGTTCATGTCTGATTCTCTAACTACAGTGACTGAAAAGTACCAATAACACCAGTGTAGTATACACTCCACAGCATCTCCAGCCAAGTCAGTCAGCATCAGTTCAGCTCTCTGTGGTATAGGAGCAGATATTTTTCAACCAAAATCCTTTACAGCATCTCAAAGTGAAAAACAGACAAGACATATCAAACAGCTTCATCTGATTTCCATTCACATATTTGTATGGCTGATTTTTTTTCTTAATAAATGCAGAATGTGCAAATAAAAACACCAACACAGCAGCTCATAGCACAAAGAAACAAATGTAAACAACCGTGATATGCCTCCTGCCATTGTGTATTTCTATTTCACCTACAAGACCTTCGTCTCAAATTTCCAGGCAACAGCACAGCATTCAGCAGATAAATGAAAAACAGATGAGACATTCAAAAATAAAATTCTCAACCGCATGTTGTTAGTTAAAATAAAGACTAATGATACAAAACAGACATTTTTACTAACTGTTCTTTTAAACATGGGCATTATCCCAGAAAGGAAGTTGTCTCTCTGGTCCCAACCATTATGTCAAACGCAACCAGACATTATACATGGGACCAAATGTCAAAAGCCATCAGGCTGAAAATAAACTCTCTCATACTCTGATCAAAGACGACTGTTTCAAATAGTGCATAGCATTGCAGACGGCAATGACAGCAGCATGCTGAGTGGAACTGGACGTTTAGCCACTGTCTGTTGACCTGAGTTAGCTATAAATGTGAAGGACAAAAGGCAAATGAGCTCTGCAGAAACTGCTGTCTAGACTGCTTCCATCATCAGGATACCATGATGAAGCAAATACATTGTAGACCTACACTTGTGGTGTACCTCATTACAGTGGAAATGAGTGTCTGACTCGTCTGTCTCAAGATTGAATGCATCATCTTTCACTGTAGATTTCAAATAAAGTCTAATCAAATCATAACAAAGAAAGTTCAGATGGCAAAATACTGTAATATTTACTGAATAAGGCTGTGAAATAGGAAGTTGCGTCTTACCTCCAAATCAATCATGAGCTCAATGAATCTCTCGCAGTAATGCACTTTGTCCATGGTTACAGGCCCTGTGGAAAACCAAAGAGAGGCATCGTGAAGGTTATTGTTTCACTGAAGTTCAGAAAATGCATGTTGTCAATGAGAAATGCAATCTGATGAAGATACAAGGCCAAACAAAGATGGGGAACAGTAGATATATCAGTGTAGAGGTGGGTGTGTAGTTTTCACCAAGGACATGAGGGCAGCAAACGCATGTGGACAACACCGAGGTGCCATGCTGAGTGTGCGAGCCCCACTATGAGATGCTGCATGGCCAGCACAGTAGCATGCTGGGACCTCAGCCCTCATTAACAATTCTAGTGTGTGTGTGTGTGTGTGTGTGTGTGTGTGTGTGTGTGTGTAAGTGTGCGCACTTAAAGTTGAGGCATGCAGCAAGCATTAGAGTGATGCAGATCCTGCTGGGCTTTAGATTGTAATCTAATCTGTCAGGTTTGAATTCTATCTAAACACACAAATACACATATTCTGTTTTTAGCATTCAGGTGGGGGGCCTGTGTGTCGGCCTGCATTACAACATGGTAGTCAGTGCCGGTGGCTGTATGGCAGCTGGACTACATGCTCCTTCGGCAGCTGCACGACTCGGAAAGAAATGAGAGAGCAGTGCAGCCGAAACAGCGATGAAAAGGGGAAATGTTGAGTTTCGTATGGGCAGTATCTGCTCTCTGACACTGTGTAAGATCTAGAAAAAGCTAAGCACATTAATCATGCAGGTGTAAGTAGAGACAAGGCACAAGGAAAGACCTGATTTGGGAAGTCTCAGGCAGAATCACCTGAGTCATCACTATTTTTACAAAATATTTAGAGGCCGACATCAACACCAGAGATATGCTTTTTTTTTCTAATAAAAAATATGAACAAGCTCTAATGGTGATTCTTCTTGCTGTAGGACTTCCATGTTAAGTTGTTGTAAACAACAGCACTATTTGCTCACAGGAAATAAAGTATTTTTGCTATTTACCTGATGGTGGAATTGACGTGAGCACTGCAAGAAACTTTTTAATGAGAGCTGAGAGAAAGGTCCTTTCCTTGGTTGCCCTGAGGAAGAAACGAAAAATCACCAGTGAGAGCCTAGAAATGTGTGGAATATAAAGCATAATTCCTTAGTCTGTATAGATCTTCAAAACACGCAAGCGAAGGAAATATCATTACTGCTCAGCTGCGTCAGCATCCATCTTATCAAATTTCTTCTTGATTAGATTCCAAAACTTCTGCAGCTTTGGAACTTTCTTCAACTCGTGTTGGAGTCTGGACTGCAAACGTGACAGAAACAAATGAGGAAAGAGTCAGTTTAACTGAGGATCAGTGTCGAAGTAGGGAACCAATTTTGTTTCCTATGAAATTATCAAACACTGTCATTACTTTATGTGCCAATAACCACCATAGAAACTTAATTAGGGTAATAGTTTGACATCTTACTGGTATGAGGCACAGCCACATAGGCAAAGAGATGAGCTGCTGCACCTGCTCTCTGATCAAATCCACCTCCTGGGAAGGAGACAAACAGAACAAAAAGAAAGGGAGAGAGAGAGAAAATGGGAGAGGGAGTTGTCAAAATGCACCGTGCATGACAGATTTTTATTACACTTCAGCCCCTAATAAAAGTCTGCAACTAAAATATTTAGAGGCCTTTATGGGATACAATCAAAGGGCAGCAGGCTATCACAGCAGATCTGAAAGTGAGACATCTGCAGTGCTTCCCTGTGGTTTAATGCAGCTAGAGAGGACACGGGGAGCTGGTCTGAGTTGCACTGCCTTATCTACTATTGCCACCTAGTGGGCTTTGCCAATAACTGCATTGCATTTCACTTCTTTGACAAAGCACTTTGGCCTTGCTTTTACTGTGCTTTCACAAGATTAACCCTGATTAATTAAATATCTGAGCTAATTCATATTTAAAGAAAAACAACAACAACTATTGAAACCATATCCTTTTGTCTATTCTAGATATTCAGAGTTTTATGATACAATAAATGTCAAATTAAAAAAAAAAATAATAATCTCACCATATTGGGATGGGTGATAGAAGGAACATATTGGCTTTGTGCAACTGGCTGAGGGGTGTGGACAGTTTTTTGGGGTAGATTTTTGTCTTTGAACTTTGCTGATTTTATGATCATTCTTTCTGAGAATTGAACTTGGTAAATAGTTAACCTGCAATTTAAAGTGTGAACTAATCAGAACTAACAGATGGAGCTGGGCAGTATTATGCAGATTTTTGTTGCCCTGATTTCCGTCTTTCACAAAACAGGGCAGGGACTAAATGATAATTAGGCTGTCTTCAGTGACCAATCAAAATCATATTTTAGAACTAGACCAAAAACTGCACGTTGTTGTGCACACTGATCATTTAATAGCATACGATATCCCCATCTGTTTGTTCGTTTAGAGGCTGCAAGCGGAGGCATCCTTCTCATCTGATGCCATCAGCCTCTTTGTCAGATAGTGTTGGACAGCTGTTCAGCGTGTCTGCTTATGCCACACAAACACCTCCGCAAATATATTGGCAATTGCCGGTTGTTGGACTGATGGTTGCCGGTTGGACAGTTTTAACATATCGCTCACAGCTGCTCCTCACTTTCATGGTGGAGTGATTAGCAACACAATTTTTTCTTTTTTTTATTATAAATCTCTTGAGTCTGGTTTTGTTTCTACCTTCAAACCATAAATTTTGCAATCAAAGTAAAAGCTGATGACTTAGAGGAATTTAGTTATTAGTACATCAGTATTATCCTGTTACCCAAAGCATTGGATTTTAGTGTACTTTACATACCAGACTGTTGAAGCAGTGGTCCAGGAAGACCAGGAGCACAGTTTGTTCTTTCAGAGTGAGGCCAGCCTCCTCGCCTGCCAACACAGCTTCCATCACACATTTGAAGAAGAATGGGAAATGGTTGGGTTCCTTCTTGAACACCTGATAAACACCATGCAACAGAAAAACAATGTTATGTGAAGCCTTCTGCCTCAATGGTAGAGATGGTGACGGTAGTGTTGAAATAACTTGTAGAAATATGGTGTCTTAAGATAAACTTAGACAAGTGTGTAGATTTTTCTTTTGCTTTACCTCCCAAGCTGGAACATTCTCTCTAAACTTCTCATTGACGATGCAACAAATGGACATAAGGAAGGCGTTGCTGGACACCTCAGGAGAGTAGTTCACCCACAGGTAGTTTTCGAGGTATTGGCTAAAAGGTGAGAAAACAATAAATAAGTATCTGTCCACCAAGTGTTGTTGCCACTTGTTTATTAAGTAGCTGTTTAATTAAAGTGAAGAAAAGGAAATGACATATCTCACCTGAATTCAAGCAGCATAATTTTTCTGATGGCAAATCTAAAATATATACAGGTAAGATAGAATAAAATGTTAAGAGTGGAAGGTGTTTCCATTAGATTAAAAGGGCCGTGTAATTAAAGTATATATTTACTCACTTAGACTTGAGGATCTCTTTGTCATAAACATCTTCCATCACCTAAAGAAACAGCAAAGAATATTAATATCATATCAAACACAGTAGACTCTAATAAAGAACCTGTGTTTTTATGGTGGGGATATTTCACTGTCACCTCTCAGTGTGAAACAAAATTATTATTACAATATACTTTGGAAAACAGTAGAATATATACAGTACGCAAATTAGCCACAACAATAAACCCAGCTATCTAGCATTGTGTATGTCTCCCTTGAGTCACCAAAACAGCTCTGAACCACTGAGGCATAGACTTCACAAGACCTCTAAAGCTGTCCAGAAGCACCAAGGCATTAGCAGCAGCACTTTTAAGTCCTTCAAGTTGCAAGATGGGGACTCCAAGGATCAGACTTTTTTTCAGCCTTTCCTACATGAAAGACAGATCTGTGGAACGTCAACGCCTTGAACTCTTTGTCATGGTCCTCAAATATTACGAAACAATGTTTGCATGATGCTGACAAAAACAGATCTTTGCCCAGAGCATCACACTGCCTCCATTCGATTGTATTCTTTCATTAGTGCATCCTGCTGTTATCTCTTCCTCAGCTAATTGACACCCAGCCTTAAACATGATGTAAAAGAAATGTTATTTATCAGATCAGATCACGTTTTCCTGTTGCTCCATGGCCCAGTTCTGATGCGAGACTGTTTATTGAAGTGCACCAAATTTCTCCTTGGGGAATAAAAAAGTATTTCTATCTATCTATCTATCTATCTATCTATCTATCTATCTATCTATCTATCTATCTATCTATCTATCTATCTATCTATCTATCTATCTATTTATTATGTGTTAATGCATGGGCACTCTGACTGGTCTGCTGCTATGTAGCCCCAAGCACAACAAAGTCAACAAAGTGTGATGCACTGTGAATTCTGATTCCTCTCTATCATCGCCCACATTAAAGTTTTCAGCAGTTTGGTAGCTCTTCTGTGGGACCAAAACACACGAGACAGCCCTCACAAACCATGCACATCACTCAGCCTTTGGGCACTCATGACCCTGTTACTGGTTTTCCAGTTGTGCTTCCTTGGACAACACTTGGCAACCACTGCATACTGAAACCACCCTGCAAAACCTCCCATTTTGCTAGTTTCTGACTCGGTTTCCTAGCCATCACAGTTTGGCCCTTGTCAAAACCAGTCAGACCAGATCCTAGTCCAACACATCAACTTTCAAAAATTGACTGTTCACTTTCTTCCTGCTATCTCATCCCTTGATCGGTGCCAATGGTATCAGTGCTATTTAGTTCATCAGTTGAATGTTGTGGCTAACCGGTGTATTTGACTTATTTTCCCCTTAAGTTCAACTACAAAAAATATGTATTGACACCTTTAAGAGGCAGCAATACAGTGCACTCACCTTAGGGTCAAATGGTAGTTTATTCTTTGCATGAGGAGCCCAATATTTATTAGCCAACTGAAAAAAAGGAATAGGAATATCATCCAGAGTATGCAAAATGTGAACATGAACATGCAAAAAATAATGAACACAAACAGCACAAATTACTACAGGTTGGCATATGGGTAGAATCATGAAGGTTTAAGAATACGTATACTTCTGTGCCCTATGGTTTAGATTATATTGGATACAGACCTGTCACAGATACATTGGTATCGGAGTATATGTTGTCCGATATGAGAAATTAGTTTTTTTATTTGTTTTAATTGCAGTGTATCCTGCAGAAGAGAATGCTGGGAGTAAACTGGAAATGTTATCATCACAGTTTGTCCAGCAGAGCTGCTCTGAGCCAATTGTTTACAACACTATCAACACTGTTCGTATATATATCTATATATGTACAATATTCCTATCCAACCACATCAGAATTTTAGATTCCCTAAAAACTGGTATAACTCCAAAAGCTTTAAAAACCCAGTAATGAAGATGATGTAGCTTAGAAATCCTTTTCTGGTTTAACACCTGAGACTGAACCATCTAAAAAAGGGAATATTCTCGAGATTGGACTGACCCTCTTCTAGACTGTTTACTATGTCAAAGGGACACTCCTCTTATCTGCTACAATTCCTCACCACACACAAAAGCACTGTTTATATATGACATAGCAGAGATCGCAATTAAAGGACTGCATTAAAAGAAAACTTCAGCACATAGCGTTGTACATATGAGGTGTACATGTACTGTCATTACCTGCGTGACATATTCTGCATTTATCTGAGACACAGACGGCGCTGCAGCCTTCTTAGCGGGGGTTTCTTTCTCTACGGTGGCCATCTCGAGCAGCGACAGTGACTGTGAGAAACAGAAACAGTAGAAATTAGTGACGTTTGAAAGCTTCAGTAACAATAAACCAAAAGAAATAACTCGCAACTTGTGTGGCACAGCTGTACGAGTGGGTAAATATAGTGTGAAAGAAGGTTAACAAGCTCGGTTTAAATTTTAATGGGTTAATTGGACAACAGTTTGGATTATGCACAGTGCTAAGTATTTACTTTATGAACGTTATCGGTAATGTTAGCTTTCACAATGAGCTAAGCTAATGAGTAGCACCAAATCATAGCTGCCTCAGAAATCATTTTAGACAATAAAAATGTGACTCCTTTGATTAAACCTCACGAAAATATGAGTCAGATTGAGCTCACTAACCTTAATCTTTATTTCAGCATGAGCGTAGCTCCCGTTGGACAGGTACGCATGTACACAACTAAAACGCGCTGTATTCGACTGACTTCCTGAATGGGTACGTCGCTAAAATCTTCCCCCCAGGTACAAAAGCCTGTTTTCCGTTCCGCTTCATGTTTTGATAACAAAAGTTAACTGTAGTGCGTTAAAAGCTTTGGGAACGTTTAATAAACTGTCTCTGAAGAGAACAGAAGAACCAAAATCTAAATATATATAAAACAGGTTTGGTCTTGTGTGTAAAATAAACAGTCTAGCATATAACAAAACATTAAGACGTGTCACACTGTATGAGAAAATAGAATATATATGAATTCAAAATATGTATTTACATATTCATGTGCGAAACATTTAATATTTTTTATTTGTTTGTTTTTTGTCATGAGTGTGTTACTCCTGATTAGTGAATGTGGTGGTCAGAAATACTCCACATCAAACGATATTTTCATTTCTGAGAAACTTATCAATAGACACACAACCTTAGTACATTTAACAATATCACATGAAACTATTCATGTAATTTGTGAGACACTTCACACACACACACACTAAACACACAGATTTAGAACCAGCATAACTTTATTTATCTTGCAAGGAAATTGCTTTGCAACAGTTGACCAAAAATTAGGAAGCTGTAAAATTACACAACCTAAGCAGAAAGAGGAGGAACAATATAACTGGACAGAAATCAAGGACCTCCTGTGATGTTCAGTGGAGCAATCTTAGCTTCTGGGTGACGGTGGTCCTCACACTGTGTAGTCTGAAAAAACTAAACCAGCCTTCTCAATACATCCGTTAGGTCCTCTCTTGGGCCTCAGCAGACCACCACATAGAAAATGGCATCAATGATGTGTAATGTTTATTAGCCAAACAAGCAATTTTACACCAAAAACAAACATTGCACAGCATCATTTTCACTATCAGTGAGTCTGTCGGTGTGTTCTCAGATGTGCAGACTGTGTGAAAGTCTTGCCACAGATGTCACACCTAAATGGCCTCTGACCTGTGTGCACAAGATAGTGCCTTCTGAGTTTAGAGGGAGACACAAAATCTTTGAAGCAAATGTTACAATGATTCCTCTGGGCTGACATTTTAAGCTGAACATTAGATAAACAAACGTGTTGCTTAAGATTTCTTTTGCTTGTAAAACTTACAGCACATTTGTGACATTCAAACACAGTTAGTGGTTCACACCAGTAGCTATCAACCACAGGACGTACAAATCCATCACTGAGCGGCTTGTTGCTGTCTGCAGCAGGCTGACATGGTATTTCTATGTTATGTGTGCTGCCTTCATGCTGATTAGACAAAGGTGGAGCTGCCATGTTTTGATTTTGAACAAACTCATTTATTTCAAAGGCAAGTTCTGAGGCAAAAGAAAGACTATAGTTGTCTGTAGCCTGGTAACAAATGTCTCCCTGCTTTTGCTCTGATTCACTGTTCTCTTTTTTCAGGCCTACTTCTGGCACCTCCACCCATTTAGTGTCTATTGCGTCTGAGCAATGAGCCAAGTCTTCATCAGCAAATGTGTAATGACTTACACAGGCATCCTGTGCTTCTCTCACATTCACTGTTGCATCCATATTGAAATCTGTACAATCTGTCGGGTTTTCAACGCACTTATCGTGGAGATAGTTTGTGTTTATCCCATCAACCTGACTACAATCCGACACCCCGTCACTCCGTCTGCATCTGTGCTCATGAATCTTTAGATGTCCCTTCTGCGTGAAAGTTTTGCTGCACAAAATGCATCTGTATGGCCTTATTCCAGAGTGAGTGACCAAGTGTCTTGACAGCTTGTACGGTGAGGAAAAGTTCTTACAGCATATTCGGCACACGTGAAGCTTCCTTTTTTCACAAGTCACATTACTTTCAGAGTTGGTCTTTAAGAGACTGTTCACTTCTGAAACAGATCCGTCACGCACGGTGCAGAGTGGTCGATTCCCTACATTACTGACAACTTCACAATGTGAAAGTGTGGACTCTGTGTTTACTGATGTTTTCTGTGCGGGGACTTGAACAGTAATCTTTGGGTAAAGCTGCTGCTGAATCTTCAGTTTTCTGGTGTTTCCTTGTTGACTGAGGGACTTGGATGACTTCCTGTTACAGTGAGTTCTTTCGTGTGTTTTCAGATGTGGAGCTTGTCTGAATGTTTTCCCACAAATAAGACAACGGAATGGTTTCAAACCTGTGTGTACGAGTTCATGTCTTTGTAATTTAGAGGCACTCGGAAAACACTTCAGACACTGAAAGCACTTGTGTGGTACGCTTCCTGGATTTTGCTCTGACTTAACAGTCTGTGTCCTTTTTACAATCACTCTGGAAACCTTTCTCATGTGCACAACTGCATTTCTCTTTGACATGCGTGACAACAGTTTGTTCTCTGGTTCTCTGTTGTCTTTAGTTTGGACATTCATCCTTAGAGCGGTCTGATCCAGGTGTGTCCCAGAGACAACAGGACTGTTGTTCAGATAATCCTTTCTTTGTGCTGTCCTTCCCTGGACTGGGACATCTGCTGCCGTCTTTGTGTTAAACCAGCTGATAGTCGAAGGTGGCCGGTTGATATAGAGCGACCGCTGTTTGTGATACTTAGACCACGTATGAGTGCGATAATGAACCCGTAAGTGTGTTTTCTGACGAAACATCTTTCCACATATCTCACAGCCGAAGGGCCTTTGTCCAGTATGAACCATTATGTGTCTTTGAAGCTTTGACTCAGAAGGAAAACATTTTGAACACATGGGGCACTGATGCATTGTGGGACTTCTCTGCTGCTCGCTGGTGGCTTGGCAGGTTTCCCACTGATTGTCTGCTGATGTAATGAAATCAGCGTCATGAAGAAAAGAGCCACTATGATCAGTGAAAATCTGACTCTGTCTTTCTGCTTTAACGTTGACATTCAGGGCAACTGGGTCTGCATCAGGTAATGCAGACCCAGGTAAATGTTTGATTGCTTCCAAACTGGACATGTTCAGAGTGTCCCTGTTTTGCACAGGGGTAGGACTGGATAACTCTTTTTGCTTTCTATGAATTTTGTGATGTCGTACTAAATTAACTTCCAACCGAAACGATCTGCTACAAACTGAACACTGGAACGGTTTCAGGCTTTTGTGTGTCATGAATTGCTGCTCTTGTTCTGTCAACTTAATACAAAAATTTGAATTTAACGGCTGTTCTGGTTCTTCAACTGAATGTGACGTGATTTCAGTCGTGCTCAAGTCCTGTGCAGCGTTTACACTTATTTTACACTGTAGCTCCAGCTCCATCGAGGAATTCACAGGTGTGGGATGGTCTGAGGTTTGAGTTCCATTAATCAGGTTTTTCCTCGCAATACCAGCAGACAGTGAGCATTTACTTGACATACGTAAATGGGATTTCAGGTGTACCTTCTGCCTGTAGGCTCTCCTGCAGACTGCACATGAGTAGGGCTTCTGTCCAGTATGAATAAGAAAATGTCTTCTTAACTTGGAGGGTGAGCAGAACACTTTGAGACATTTAGGACACTGATGTTTCAAAGTTATTTTGCTTTTACTGGAGATCAGCTCTTGTGACCGTAGGTTTACTCTTAACTTTTTAGAACAAGTCTGCAGCAACTCTCTGCTCCTCTCAAATCGCTTCGGTGTGTTATGAATTGGTGAGTGAATCGACAGCTGACGAGATGAAGGAAATGACTCCAAGCAGACTTTGCAGGTATATCCATCAAGAGCTTTGTTATCAGAGGAGTCCGAGCTTGAAGAATCAACTTGCTCCTGAGGTACCGAAGAGTTAGAGATACTGCTCAGAGTTTCCAGACCATCACCACTTACATGTGGTACATTTATCGGTACGTTTCCACTCTTAGAAGGAGGAAGAACAAACGCATCATCTGGAACCTCTCCTGTCCACGTGGAGGCCCCAGAGGACGGTCCAGCTGACGTTCCTGTGCCATAGTTACTCTTGCCGTGGGTGTTGATCTCTGCCGCTGGTTGATCACAGGTTGGTTGTTGGTTATTGGATAAACTGCCATCCTGCAGACAGTCTGTTGGAAGCCCTGAGTGGTGGACATTCTGTAAGTGGGTCTTTAAATGTGCAGACTGTGTGAAGGCTTTCAAACAGAGTCTACAGATGAAGGGCTTCTGACCGGTGTGGATGACATGATGTCGCTTAAGTTTGTACGGCGTCAAAAAACACTTTGAACACACAGGACACTGATGCATGTTGAAGTCACCACTTTAGGCTCCTGATGAGTCTCTGGCTCCACCTGGGGCAAAAGATTTGGCATTAAAATTGAAGCAAGAATTAAGAAATGACATTCAGTTAATCTGACAACAATGACTACATGAAGTAATGAGTTACTGTTCACATAATGTACAGAATCTTATGCTCGAGCGCTGGAAAAAAATTAATTAAAAACTAAAATTAAAAATGAAAATATAAAAACGGCCTAAAGGGTACATTTTGTTTTCCAGACGTTACATCAATAAAACAATAAACGACACGAACACGTTCACAAAGACGAAAAAACCGTTTGAACCAACAAACAGCGTCAGTGTTGGTGGGACAAAAGTCAGTAATACTTACTGTAAATACGACCAGTAAAGTCCAATATATTCATAATTAACAATGTGAGTAGCCTGTTAGCTTTCTTGCTAACGGTGAAACAAGCTATGACGCACGTACATCCCGAAAATATGTACGGTGGGAAACAAAGATTTTCAGTTCCTATCCGGGGCAGACCGACAGACTTAAGAATATTTTATATCAATACTACAAATACTACTACTGCTAATACTACTACTGCTAATACTACTACTACTACTACTACTACTACTACCACCACTAATACTAATACTACTACTATTACCACTAATACTACTAATACTAATACTAATACTACCACTAATACTACTACTACTACTACTACCACTAATACTAATACTAATACTACCACTACTACTACTACTACCACTAATACTACTACTACTACTACTACTACTAATACTACTACTAATACTAATACTAATACTACTACTAATACTAATACTACTACTACCACTACTACTACTACTACTAATACTACTACTACTACTACTTATTAAAATCAGCCTCACAAAGTGCTCCACCATAAAACACAACCAACACGTGGTAAAATATAAAGTCATGTTTAAAGATTAAAAATAGATTAATTAAAAAATAGATTAAAAATGAAACACAGTGCATGATAAAAAAAAAAAAATTAAAATAAAATAAAACAAAATAAAAATGAAATAAAACTATCAAATGACTCAAGGCAAGTCACCATTATTTATGCAGCACATTTAAAATAACAGCTGTTGAGCCAAAGTGCTTCCAGTTGTGATAATATCGGCATTGTGAATTTAAGTTGAGATAAAAACCCCTCGGCTTTATTTATTATGTGAATTTACTTGAGAATTTTTTTACAATATGATTAAAATTCTGAATTATCCTATGCAATAAATAAATAAAAAATAAATACTGCAAGGAAGGTTAATTTCACCAAGACTATGTCAGCACTTGTTGGTTTTAGCGCTGGTCGAATCAGGCTGTGTTGCTGTGGAAACCAGTCTCCTGTTACTGTTTAGCAGGAAGAACACGCTGCCTGCATCCTCTGTATGATCTCTGTCAGATGAACAGAACAGTGCTCAGGACAACTTACAGTATATATATTTACTTATCATTCTATTCACAACATTTAACACACAAGTGAAGTATAAACCAGATGTGACACAGAAGAGTACTATAAAAATAAAGAGTGACATGTGCTGTGACTGAGGGATATATAACATGCACTCATTTGTGAGTCCTGCTCCCTTCATGGTTTGTATATTGTATCTGTGTGTCACGCCTCTTAATTTAATGGTTTGGAGAAAAGACTCATCATCATCTCACAGCTCCTCCAGCAAACCTCCTCGATCGTCTGTGTCCGAGATGCATTTCAGGAATTGAGACGTCCTTTGTGACGGCACACCAAGATGGATTTCTGGGTCACGGTCAGGAGGACTGAGAGGAGCAGGCTGAAATTAGTGAAATGAGAAAAGTCTTGTGATTGATGAGGAGATTGAAGTTGGAGCTGTTAATCACAGTTTGAGCTGAACGTCCATCGGTTAGTTAGTGTTACACAGCTAATGAAACGACTTCTTGCTTGTAAAACTGGGAGGTTAAGTTGTGTGTGGGGGGGCTTGAGGATTGGCAATAAACACCCTCACATCTCAACTGGTTTCATTTTACAGAGTTTATAGGAGCCACAAAACACAACAAAACTGTATTTCGACTGTAAGCCCCTAAATATTAAGGTTAAGGACCTGCAAAGTTAAACACTCTACAAATTACCTGGATAATTCAATAATTAAGGAAAATATCCTGCAAAGTTAGACTTAAAATACAGCTGGGAGAAGAGTCACATGGAGGGAGGAAAGGAAAGCAGAGACAAACACAAACAAGAGAACATAAATACTGGGCAGTCAGTAGCTACACATCAGACACAAACAGCTCCAGAGCCAGAAAGACCTGCACAGAGGCAGAGAAACCAAAGCACACACTATGGGACAGAGAAGAAACTAAGTTAATACTATCTAATACTGAATATAAATGCAGGGAGGAAGTGACAGAAGTCACAGAACACTCGAGTAGGAACACGTGAGGATAAATGTATGAAGTGTGGCATATTTGTTTGGTTATAAAGGAAGAATAAAAGAACAAAATGTAAAAACAACAGAACAATGCAAGATGCCAAAATAAGTATTCAAAGTGATTTAAAAGAACAATGTGTAGCCTATCATTATAAACAACCTTGCAAACAGTCTGCTTCAAACCCAAAACGGCTCTTTTCTTTTAAAAAGCCAGCACAAAAGTTGTAAACATAGACTACAGGAAGCTCAAGACCCACAAAAGGCTCATGTATCTAACCTGGGTTTACATCAGGGGTGTCCAATCCTGGTCCTGGAGGGCCGCAATCCTGCATGTTTTAGATGCTTCCCTCTTCCAACACACCTGATTCATATGATCAGCTCATCATCAAGCTCTGCAGAAGCCTGATAACGATCCTGATCATTTGAATCAGGTGTGTTGGAAGAAGGAAACATCTAAAACATGCAGGACTGTGGCCCTCCAGGACCAGGATTCGACATCCCTGGTTTACAACCTGTCATAGATATGGGAAACTTTTAGCTGCATTCATGTATGACCTAATGCAGTCATTTTGGACTCATTAGCAGCTTGAAATGCAATAAGCTATTGCAACTCCATCAACTCCAGCCTACAACAATAAGAGTCTGTCACACCATGACATGTATTCATTATACAGCAAAACTATAAGTATGTCACATTAGATTGTAGTGTTTCAGTGGCTTTTCTCTCCATATTCCCTTTTTATAAATGATGAAAAATCACATTAATGTTTCAATCAACGTTATCTAAGAATGTGCTTCACACCAGTCTACTCCATAAATATGTGCTTTCTGGAGTACATAGTGAAGAAAATAGGAGCTACCGTCACACGATTATACAAGTAGCACATTGTATTATAGATAATCTGGTGTTTTCTGGAGGCCTTCTGGAGGTTTTCGCTGATATTTCCTGGATATCTAACGTTAGGAGGCGTTTGGTTATAACATGAAGAACCAGTCTGTGTGTGTTTGTTCCATTTCTGGACACTCCAGGAACACCAACAGGCCTCTCTTGCTGTGGACGGTTCTTTTCTTTTGCAGTGCTGCTTTTGATCAACAGAAAACTCATCGCTGACAATCAGTTAGTTATTTAAGTTTAGGAAAGCAAAAATTCCAAACATTAAGTTCCACTCTAAGCTGAACATCTTTCATGTTTGATCTGACAATACGAGCAACGTGAAGATGTCACACTGGGCGTCAGAAAACACCATTTCAACAATTTTCCCATGAAAAAAACACAGTTAAGCAAATGAGTTGCTGACACGTAGATAAAAAGACCAACAGATCAGTGAATATAATCATTAGTTGCAGCCTTATTGTCAAACACGGGTGTAGCTAACGATGGTAATGGCTACATTTAATTTAAGGGTTCCAGTGTCACAGGCCTGCTATGTTATTTTTGTACATGCTGACTCATTACCATGACTGATGGGCACAGCTAAAAGGAGAGGACTGATTGTTAACGCTTTTAGTTACACTAGCGCTTTTTCTGCACGTCAGAATATTAAAATCAAATCTGGAGAATCAGTAATTGATCCAAGTTCTGCCACTTGTTCAGAGCACAAGACACACATTATGAAGACATACAGTCGTCCTCAAATGTATTCGTACCCTCACATTAAAGAAGGAAAAAAAACAGCTGTCACTGAAATATGTTGAAATTCACAAAAGTGATAATAAATAAAAATTTAATTAATGACAATCATGACATTGCTTTTGAATTGTGGTTCAACAGAAATAAAACAAACAAACAAACAAGCATGATGGGACCCGTAAACTATTATTTTGTTGAACAACCCTTTGAGCCAATCACTGCAATCAGGTGTTTTCTGTAACTCTCAGTCAGACTTCTGCACCTGTTGACAGGTGTGTTGATTTTGGCCACTGCTCACCAGCAAAGTGCTGTAATCTGTCCAGGGATCGGGTGTTGTTTTTTTTTTGTTTTTTTTAATTATTATTATTTTATTCTTTTCAAGCACAATTCAAAAGCGATGCCTTATTTTACTAAATTATAATTTATCAAATGTTTTATTTATTATTAGTTTTTTTCAGTTTCTAGTTATTTGAGTGACTCTTGTGAATTTTGCCTTTTCTTTAATGGAAGGATATGAATACATCTGAGGACGACTGTATGAACAGATAAAAATGTGTGCAGCAAAAAGTCACAAAGTAAGAATTTAATTGCCTTTGTTGTACTGTAAAAAATAAAGTAATACCGTTTGATCATCAAATCACAAAAAATTAGAAAATACAAAACCTCCAAAATGTAAAATTCAAAAGTGCATCATCTGTGTGATACTCAGAAATGTTTTAGTGTCTTTACACACAGAATGTGGAAAGCAAACATTTCAATGATCTACAAAATGAGAAAAAACATATTTCTATTTCCAATGTTGTTAGGATTCATTTACAAATCATTTTACTCAGGATATGAATTTAAATTCTGTACAAGCGTAACTGAAAGCTCCCATGTGTTCTACCTGCACTTCTTATATTGACCACAAGAGGGAAGCAGACACCGCTCAATAGCACGTGTGGGCTTGACAGTTCTGCACGTAGAGAAAGTTCCATTAAGTCAGTGCTGTGACCATAAAGACATGTTTTCACAATACGTCAGGGGAAGAAAACAATACATTACGAAACAAAAAGGATTCAAACATGAAAACAAACAAAACCACAGTTACTGAGGCAGGCAGACCACAATGTGAGGAGGCGTCTCATGCGGCGAGGCTGCTTCTGAGCCGGGCTCCCCTACTGTAGCTCACTGCTATGGGGAAAGAGAGTCACACACATCAGCTGGGTTTGCCTGGAGGAAGAAACGCACAGTTAAAGTCCATGTGCAAGGCCACAATGACAAGGGCCGCGGGCTGGTACATTGCGCACAAAGGACAATATTAGCCACAACAGCCAGTTTGTTTGCAGAGTGGTTGCAGGTCAGCTTGGTAGAAAATGTACAGTTGACAAAACACATGAGAAAAATAAATGTCACCCTGTCTTTATTCATTTTGTGAGGAAGCACAGCGGTAAGGACACAAAGAAATGTGTCTGCCATGGGCCATCACATTGGTTATGATGAGGTTGTGAAGATATACTTGTGGCTGTGCCTGTGTCTGTATGAAAACATTCCCGCTGAAAGACAAAATGTAATGTTTGCCGTGTGATCGACAAGTGGTTGCTGTGCAATGAATTCTCGTGGCTGTGCTCCTCTGTGTTTACTGAAAAGCCGAGTCTTGTATTTTCTTGTTTTGTAACGTGAATTCTTTGTACTGTTGTTGTTGTTGTACTCTCAAGAAGAGCTGGACGGATTAAAAACTCAATTAAGAAACATTTGCAAGTTAGGATTTTAAATGATTAAGTTAAATCTACCACCTATATAATTACAAAAACACTGACACAGCATGTAATATTTTACTTTTATTTATTCTTATCAAAATAGGGGAATAAGTATCTGCTGCTCCAACACGCAACATCTTTACAACAGAGTGGCCGTCACAAAACAACCAAGCATGCGCTACACTGGAAATGGTAACGGGCAGATGGAGACTAAGGTCGTAAACCAGAAATCACAAATCAGTGAAGTCTGCGACACACTGAGCTATTGAGGTTGTCCCATGTGAAGTTGGTGGACATTTTGGCGGAGAGGATCACGCATCATGTGGCAGATTGTCCACGGTCTGAAATGATCTCATAGACGACAAATAGTGAAGTTGTGGACATTCAAGCTGCAGCCTTAACTGACATGCAGCATTCAGCCTGTTCTCGTCTTTCTCTTGTCATCAGGTCATATGAATAAAGCTGCATTTCAAGGTACACTTTCATAGTTGCTGTTCAAAGCCGTATATGTGTACCTGTCACACTATCGGATCATTCAAGCCAAAGCTGACCAGGCTGTGGATTAACTGAACTTGTTACCAGCTGAATGGTTCAAACACTTTTTGTACACAGTTGGTTAAATTTACCTCTTTAAGATGAGATTTTTAAAACTTTTTCTCTAAGTCAGAAAAGAAGACCATTTATATTTCTGTTCAGTGTGATTGTAACAGATTTCCCTTGTCTGACGTGTTTCTTCTTCATTTGCATCACTTAATCTGAACAAAACCGCTCCTCAATCTTCTTTGTAAAGCAGCAGCTAAGGAAGACGTGCATCGTCGTATTTGGCAACACGCTGCATTCAGACAATTAAAAACTAAGATAAGTGACAGAGTAAACACTCTCTCTTTACTATGTGTGTTTTTGCCAAATCTGTGGGTGTTAAACAGCCACATCTATTGAAAACATTTAAATATAATTAAATGTTTGCAGATGAAATTTACGAGTGTTTACTTACATGTAGGAGTGCGTGAAAACGGCTAATGAGAAACATCCAAATCTTACTACTTGATCGCTGCGCCATTCAGAAATTCAGAAAATCCTCCTGGTGGGGCCTTTTCAAACCAAACAGGGGAACATTAACACACACGGTATAGTTACGGGGCATTGGCTTGCTCGCTCTCATAAATAATTGCTTGTTTGTGTTTTTCAACCCTCAATAAAAATCTTCAGGCTCCATTGGCCGCCTCTATTGTTCAATTTTTGATAACAATAATCAAAACAACACTGTGGTGGGCGAAGATCAATAGCTCCACTCCACTCTGCTGCCATCACAAGCCGTGATGAAGAGAACAGTCGGGCTGAAGATGCGTTCCAACTCCGATTATCAATACGGTTCATGATCTTTGAGAAAAGAAATGTTCCAGGAGCAATGGTTAATAGTGTTATTTTCTTCCCACATGGTCACACTGTGTCCTCATGATGACCAACGCACACACTCATACACTCGCTTGGCCCGCGGCGGTGCGCGGTGGCGTCCTTCTCCTATTAACCAGGCTGCCTTAGAATCAATAGAAAGCATAAAGAGGCTTAATCTTTTCAGGTGCTTGGTGCTGATTGCCTATTACACAATAATAACATACCTTGAGTCCCGCGGAGCATGAGCAAGAGAAACACACTCGCCTCATCCTAACACATCACACACAGCCACAAACCAGTCACACAGTAAATCTATAGGTTTACAGCTGAACAGATGGTGTCAGCAGCGGTGCTAGGCCTTTATGAGGGGTGTTAGCTAGCGTGCTAAGAGAAATTCTACCAGAAACGGTGGGATATCAGGGGATACAGTTTATCGCCTCGTGGAATGAGACACTGCTGGTGTCTCCTTTTGTAGACTAGGCTCTCTAGTCCTCTGGTATGTGGCTTTAGGTTATATAAGTTCCATAAGACTTGTGTGAGGTAGAAGTAACAGCTGCTGCAGTATACAACTCCAGCGGAGGACAGAGTGGATTACTGGCCTAAGTTCAGGGGCTTGAAATGGAATAAACACATCCTCAAAACCGCACACCATCAAAACCACTTGGAGACACATACAGCTTTGCATTTCAACAATCAGCTGCACTAAGCAGTCAGCATTAATGAGCAGTTATGCAGTTTTTTCTTTTCCACATTTACCGATGCCCTGTTGTAAGTCATTAGGTGTTGGGCTGTCAAGAGTTGTTCCTCCAGAAAAGCTCCACTGAATTCCAGTGCTGTGGATGGCTGGAGTCTGGTTGTTGACTCTGGCTGTGTTTCTATAAACTGAGCCAGCAGGACAGGTGGAGGATCTGGGAGTCAGGCAAGTCCAGGACTGGAACCAGGGCCATGGACGGACTGGAATCTGCTAGAGCACTTTTGAAACTTTCTTCAAGTCCTGGAAGGCAGAGGTGGGAACCGGGAAAAGTGAGAAAAAAAAAAAAGAGGATGTGTTAGTTTAATGAGAACTGAAGCTGGAGTTGGACGTCAGGTTCTCACATTGCTGTCCCACTGGGGGTGTCCTGAGACAGAGGCTGCACTTAACCCCTCGACCAAGGAACGCCGGCCTATTTACAAATTATTGGCATTCTTAAATACTTGGCAGATTGCAGCCCCTCACCCCAAACCCATTCATCTCCCTGCAGTGCAGACATATGGTCAGCAAGGACTGAACTCTAATCTACCCCTCCCAAATTTGCACATAGAGCCTTGTACAAGCAAACACACACACACACACACACACACACACACACATAAGAAAAGGCGGTTCTCAATTTGCTCTTTTGGACAATTGAGCAGCTTGTTGGGGGTATCTGGTGGAATGGATCCTGTGCTCCTGTTGAGTCGGGATGTTAGTTAGCTGTGTTGGGACTGCTACTCAGCTTTACTGGAGCTGAGACACGTTATTAGTGTGTCCGTGTGTGTTTGTGTGTGGCCGGACTACAGACGGACAGCGGACATGTGAGAATTCATTGAGTGTCTCAGAGCCCAGTCCTGATGACAGCCTGTCTATTTAGCAGCAGCCAGCTGGGACGTTGCCCCTTCCCTCCTCGGCTCTGTGCACTAATTGGTCGCAAGTGTTCCTGTCTCGTTGGTTGAGTGTGCTGCCTTATTTCTTCTGATTTACCAGCGTGTTGGCTGGGACTTGGGTGTGGTCACTGTGATCTGCTATGGTTATAATTGAGTTACACATCTGTGAAAGCATGCTGTGGCACAGTTGTACCATCAGCGTTAAAAGTGTCAATCGAGCTACATTCACGATGACGTGTGTCTAATGTAATGCATGTCAAGATGTAACTCCTGATCATGTTTTGGGGAAATAAAATGCTCTTTTAATAACATCTACTAGTGCTGTAGTGCTACTCTTTGACATCGGTGTGAACTTACAGAAAGAGAAATCCGGACATAGAGGTTACCAATGCTATTTTATATGCCCCATTCTCTTTCATTTGAAGCACACGCAGCATGACAAACATCCTTACAAAGAGCCCCCACACCCTAATTAGCTAATATGCAGTACAGCTTAAAATGCCCCCACTGAACACAGGCCTTTTTTGGAGGGCATTAAAAGCCTAAATATGTGTTATCAGAGCATGTGGCGCACCCTGGGAAGCAGGATCCTCTGGAGATGGCTAGCTGACAACTGAACGAGCGATGGAGATCACAGACAGGCGATGGTTTTATTAGGAGAAGAAACATACCCTTCATCACACCTTGCTCACTAAGCCTGTTTTATGTTAGGATGTTTTAATCTTTGTACCAACGGATAGAAAATAATTGCACTCTCTCTTTGAGAGTCTCTTTCAGCGTTTGTGCACACAGACATGCCTGCTTATGCATGAATGAGAGAGACGAGGGGGGTGAAGGTGACATGAATGACCATGCAATTTGTTTTTTTTTGTCTTTTTAAGTGAAAAGCGAGCAAAGACACAGACTGCTTTGCCTCCAATCTCTATAAATGCTTCTGTAAAATCCACACAAAATCCCATGAGCACTCCCAATCACATACCCAATCCCCTTCCCCTGGTCTCTCAGCCCCACTTTGGGCAACACGGGGAGCCTTATTGTGAAGCTCTGTGGACAGAAGCTGTAAGATTCAAAAAGCCATCACATTAGCATTAGATGGGACTAAGCTATCAACCCAAGAGAACCAGCCATTATTCATTGCAAACACACAGGGAGTTGAAAAGGCTGCTGTTAAAATTCTGTGTTTTCAAAACCAAACCATTACTAATGCCCGCAACACGCTTTTATTCCGAACATTAACCGCCGTTTTTTTTGTTTGAACCGATTACTATATAAATATTGTAAGCTTAAGTGAAAAGGAAGAGGGGTGTCAAGGGAAGGCTGTGATGGAAAGGAAAAGAAAAGGGTGTTCCTGTGTGGAATAGATGATGCCTGCTGGGTTTATGGGGCTTTTAAGCGGTGGCCAAGGCCCAGAGCCAGTGGTTTTTAGTTGTGCTACACTGACTCCCAAACTGGTCAAATTAACCGGTAAACGAGGCAGTAATTAGCAAGTGTTGGCTCACGAAAATTGTTCATTTTGTCCAAGGAGAATAAACAGCGAGGCTGAGGGGCCACGCGTGTGCAGCAGAACCACGAGGAAATGGAAGACGTACAAGCAATATTTCTGTATTTACAATAAATCACATGATTTCTTGTAGGCGAACGGAGTCGAGACAAACCCACAGAAAAATAAATTTCTATAGGGCTTTCAGATTATATTTAAATTAGCTAAACTAGCTTTGTTTAAAGGGATTGAATCTTATTTAATTTTTATAGTTTCTATGTAAAATCACACATTTCATTGATCACTTAACTTTTTCTTACATTACTTTGTAAACGCTTATTTACGTTCCTCGCTAAAAGTTGAAGTTTTGGTCGAGTTGTGGAGGCCTATCTTTGAGAAAACCTTTCTATCGTAAGTAACGAGTTGAGACAAGATGTTTAAAGGTTTCATTTGAACCATATGTCATGTCTATCAGCTGTGAATCCTAACGCAAGGAACCAAAGGAGGGGGTGTGCAGTCACATTTTGCTCCAGTGTTTTCTGTCTGCTCGCTGACAGCAGCAGTTGCAAGGCTGTGACTGCTAGCGCCAGAGGTGTTACTTTTCCTCCTTTGACTTTTTGGATTCATCACCCAATGAGCATCGGCTGTGACCCATAAAAACGCCCGTGGGTGAGCTTCCAGGGCTCGGCTGTGCATGCACTGTAAGGTAGCAGATTCCACCTCAGTGATGAGTCAGTAAATGGTTTTAGGGAAGCAGTCTGTGCTGTCCATAATCGAAGAAACATACATGTCAAGGGTAAAGATGGAGGTTGATGTTGCTCCAGTTAACCAATGACCCAGTAACACAGTTAATGGCTTCTATCAAAATAACTCACATTGTGAAAAAAACCTTTATATTTAAAAGCTTTATTTTATTTTATTTTTTCTGTCTATTGTACTGAAAATACAAACATTTGCAACATTTTAATAATTTTCCTTACTGCTAAATTCTCTTCCTGCTGTTGTGGATGACAGAAGAAACAGGCTTCATATATCATGAAACAATGTTCAACAACAATTATATAATTAGGTAACAAAACAAATAGCCCCGTTCGTCTGTCATGCACATCAAGACATATTCTAAACAGATCAACCTTTTTCCTATTCATTACTGGTAACTATAATTTCACGTCCTCAGAACGATGAATTATGTCAAAGCTAGAAGTGACAGTAAGATGGCTGGCTTGGCACTGACTCAAAAATGTTAATTGACTGCTTCGGCGATGACTTGACAACTGAGCCCGTGTGATCGATGTGCTCATCGCCCTTTTCCCTCAGAGAGAACATCTCTCAGGATAAAACAAATACCGCTCCACATTTGCCTTGACGAGAACCTACAATTCAATGGGAGCAGGAGACGGTGGCGTATGAAAGTGTAATGGTGACAAAAGACTGTGCCAGCTGCTTGGGTTACTGTACGCCGTGTAGACACAACAAATGGCTGACAATAATTAAACACAGGAAGAAGTGGAGATCCTCAGGAGAGGCTGTTTCCTTGAATACTGCATGTTGACTTAACCAATGTCAGCTCAAACTTTCTTTGAGAAGGGAGCGGGGAGAGACAACCTGTCACTTTGTTTTCATTAATGCAGTGATGTGGGGCTTAACTTAACTCAGAAGTGTTGTATTTAACAGAACGGCTTATTTAGGATGAATCCTCTTAATAACTATAAATATTAGATCGTTCTAAATCTTGTGTGTAGTGTCTTAAGTGAGATACAGTGACATACCTTTAACAATCTGCTGAGCCAGTGAGTGGTTGCACTTGTAGAAGACCCGAGCACACTGTGACACCAGCTCCATCTTCTTCACTGCTTCCTTGAAAGCAGTGGCAACTTCTTCTGTTACACTCTTTACATCAGTGACCTCCAGGTTCTCACCACGGGCAGCCAGGGAGAGCGACAGCGAAGCGCTACGGCAGTCAGAAGACAGTACAGTGTGGCACTCGATGGATCCACACGGCACCGCTGTAGTCGTGTGACAGACTGTTCTTTCGGCGGGATCGTCCTGAACTGCGGTTACGTGAAGCTCAACGGCTGCATTCTTGGGTAAGGCAGGCACAACGACCACCAGTAATTGTGCGAGTTTGATCATCTCAGATTCCCACAGCAACTCCTGCAATGTAGGCAGATGATATTCAAATGAACCGGGTGGAAAATTATATACTGTGTTGTGCCAAAACGCTACAATCAGATGTGTGGCCCTCCTGCTGAGACACATGCTGTGTTTTCTGATCATAAACACTACTCCACCAACATTATTGTAAAGCACATCATAAAAATGCTACCACACAGCACTAGGACGGCCTTTTTACTTGACAGACTGACAGGCTATCAATTAATGTGAGGTGACCCTTGGTAATGATAGTGTACAAACAATCCAGAAAGAATCCATAGTGCTCGCAGCCACCATAAATAAAATGTACAAATGCATTCACTTTGAGCTGCATTTGTAACATGACAGGTCCCATCCAAGATGACTTCTCACCTTCCTAAGAAGATCACTCACAGCATGTTATAGCAGTTTCACCACACACATTTAGTGGAAAACTGCCTCAATTTTATCCACAGAGCCAAAATATCTTTATTTTTTTTCCTCCTTTGGACTGAAGGCCATTAGCTGTAACAAAATGTCTTGGAGCAGTGCTACAATGTGGCCCTCTAATAATACTTGGCTGTGGCTTCATCTGCTAATGGGAGAGAAATGAGTGTTTTATATAACCGTCATTTCAGTCAGAGTCGATAGGGCAAAAACACTTAACCCCCTTTTCAATTTACTGGATCAATTTTCATCCACTTACACCCCACTTCGTAAGTGCAGAATAATAACAGGTTACTTACATTTTATTTTGATATTCACTCACCAAAAAAAAAAAAGAAAAAGAAATCATTGACAAGAGCAGATGGCGGCCTCTTTGTCCCTTCAACAGACGGACCGATCGTGACCCAATCCACCAGATTCACTGAAGCAGCACTTACCTTCAGATTAAACTTTAGCAAACGCTTAATTGTGTATCAACAGCTAACCTCTTGCCTTGAAGAGTAGCAGAAATGAAAAATGCAGGTGTTCACGGCGAGTATTTGTGAAGGGCTTAGGCTCAGATTTCTCTACTCTGCTGATTTTGAAGACGGTGAGCTTGAAGTGATCAACAATAACAATCGCAGGAGCAGAACAATAACCATGTCAGCACAGACCTCTTAACATGTCAGACAAAGTGACAGCCCACATACGTGTCCAATGCTTTGATAAATGTTATATTAACACTTCTGGCGGAGGGCTAGGTATTCTCCTAGAGGGAACTGCTCCTGCACTTGTCAATAGTGATTGAACATGGAACAGAGAGTGGGAACTGGGGAGAGGAGTGACAGGACAGGGGGGTCTTGCTCAGCCAGGCTTAAAGGCCACCCTGCAGGCCTTGGATGCCGAGGTCCTATACCCAACCGACCGTCTGCAAGGAGATCAGGGGACTTCAGTCCTGTGCTCCAGCCTCTGGCAGGACTTTATTGTCGCGGTACAGTTGCTGACTTTTTGTCAGAGCTGTCGGACGAGGTTACATCAGCCCCTGTTTGTTTCTTTATTCATGTATCTACCACAATGTTACATTAGGTGGGAAGTTTGTTCAGCAGTTCTGTGGAACTAAATGTGCTAAAGTTGCAGTATTGTGTGTGTTTCTATATGTGCACATGCTGTGCATTTATGCGTATGATCTGTGGTCACAGCTCTATTACTGTGAGCTTCCCTGGCAGACGAGTGACAGGAGGGAACACTTTCATTCCTACCTGACCAGAGATCATTAATTAAATTAATCCGATAAAATACAAAGTTTGATATATGGTGGCGCTGAGTGCTGGAGTTGCAAGTTGGGAGGGCTGGCTGGTGGCAGAAAGTGTGTGTGTAGAGGGCCCTGTTCTACTCTAGACCAGCCACTTAACACAATCCATCTCATTACTTCATGCCACTTCAGTTGCAGGGCATGCAGCCATTCCCCGTGTGCTCTCTCACTCTGTAGGCAGCAGGTAAAAGCATATAGTCTGAATGTGCTGCGCTCAGCTCTCCACACTGATGGGGTGTGACCTGCTTCTCCTTATGTTTGTTTTCTTTCTCCCCACTTTCCTCCCTCTAACTCGCGTCCATGTGCCTGGAGCGTGTGGCGGGTTGGAGGGCCGAGAGGCGTGAAAGCCGAACGGTAAACACGGTAATAAGGAAGTGGTGTAAAGGCGGGGAACAGCAGGGAGCTGATGGGACTGCGCTGCTTAGCCAGTTCCCCTACATTTCCTGCCCAGCAGGATGCCTTCAGCATGTGGCTCTATGTCTCAGCACTTACTGTAGTGCTGTCAGTCTGCTATAATATCCCTTCCTATTCGCTCCCTCATTCACTCTCTTTTCTCAAGATTCCACTCTGAAGCTCGTCAGACTATTTGTGTAAATGAAACACACACGGCCATGTCAGTGGGGTGAAGGAAAGTTTAAGGATGTGAGGCCATTTCAAAATCACAGCAGTGGCCACACTTAGTTGAAAAGTCCAAAGTAAGCAGATTTCCCGTGATGTACAGGAAGGAAAACTCTCTACACTGCAAATTTAGTTCACTAAGTCACATTTATCATAAATCAAATTTCCTCAAAGTCAATGAATTCCTTAATCCTCTCATTTTTCTCTAAAATAACCAGGTGGTTTATGAATACAGGAGCATAACTAAAAAAAAGGAGGTTTGTTTAACATTTATTGACTTATCACATCAACATCTCCCTGTTCATCAAACCTTTTGCACGCACACACACTTGCATGCACACAGACAAACAGGCTCTTTGTGGTTTAATGCACCGTAAATACAATTTCACACTTGTAGCGACTCCAGTATGCTCCCAATTAACCCTGCAAGCTTCTTCATCCACCTGATTAGAGAAATTATCAACGCACAACAACAACATGGCCCTGTGGCTTCACAGACACACTAGGCATTGCTGTTTCTATCATAAACATGCACTTCAGAGGTCTGTTGTCTGAAAAGAATATTCTTTATGTCTTTGTATTTGACTGAGTAAGACTATATCATTATTTTCTTTTAAATCCCATCAGCAGCTCATCAGAACATAAAGAACAGAAACTAACTGACAGTAAACATAAGCAGGCTGTGGAGTTCTGTGGTGTTGTGCAGCATCCGTATTTAACTGGTTATTAGAACATATTAAGTCACTTTTCTAATGACGGTTTATTTTATTAAATTTTCTCTGTCTCTCCTTTTGATTATCTCTTTCTGGAGAACATTTTGAAAAGGTTCTATAAGTTAGATTTACTTGTTACTAACCTATAGAGTGACTAAGTCGATGCAATTCAGATTTTTTATTGTATTTGAAGACACCATCTCATGCCTGTAAGTGAAGCAGTACGCCTTTGCAATATTTCTGATCTCTGAGAGTTACACAAGCTACATTTGGCCATAGTTAAAGATTTTAATTACACTCAATTTAAATGAGCTGGTGCTTTGTGTAATTCCCCGACCCTTGGACAGAGTATTTAACTAGTCTGGGATGAAACAATAGCTCCCACTACATCTGAAAGTGAACTAAAAGAAAGCGTAAAGTCTGAGGATTTGTCAAAGACAGAGCGTGTGGTCAGGATAATAACCCAGCACCTGAACTAGCTCTGCTCTAAAACCTGTTTACAGGTGAGACACCCTGAGCTGTCAATTAGTGCTGCTTAATCTGGGTGTCAGCTGAAATTCCAACATGGTCTCCTGATAGAAGCTGAGGGTCAGCGAGATGAATATTTGTGATTGCTCTGATGCGCTGCATCGAAGCACAACAGATGGACGACGTTGTCCATCTTCAGTGATCTCTGGCACGAACCTGGTCCTGTCACCTCCCAAAGCTTTGCCCTTGGTTAGCCCTGCTATATAAATGACACAGGCTGTATGCTAAATTGGCATTGAACTGTCAAGGTATTTAAGAATTCTATTCCACTGTGAGTTACAATAAGGCAAAATGTGTCAAATAAATGAACAAAAAGCTCAACCAGCTCTTGACTGCTGAACGAGAACTACAGTTTATGTTTTGGAATAAATATCTCACATTTGAGAGCTTTATGGATTTAAATAACATTTAGAATTGGACATACTGGTATACTTTAAAGTGTGCTGTGAACTGACACAAAGTTGACACTTTTTCTCCCTGGTCTTTAACACTGTTCACCACAACACCAAGCCACATGTTGGAGGTGGGCTCCTGCCTCTCTCCCCGAGGCCCTATTCCCATGGCTAGGCAGATTACTGTGGGAGGAGAAGGGCTGCCAAGGGAGACTGCAGCCCCTATTAGACGCATGGAGCAGGGGTTGTAAGCCAGGGCGGTGGAATGGAGGGAAGGATGGAGGGAGGTGGCAGGAAAGAGGGGTGTGGAGGGGGATAAGCTGCTCTGAGAGTTGAGCGGAGCTCCAAAATGGTGTGTGGGGGCAAAGGATTAGGGAGGCTCTGAGGAAGACATCTGCTTCTGTGCCAAGCTCCACATTATCAAAGACACAAGCGTTTCCCACATCATCAACTTTTCATGAGTGCACTCACTGGTAAATATCAGTAGCAGCGGCTTGGGTCTCAAGGGGGCAGAGAGGGGCGAGGAACCTTCCCTTATTTCACAACTATAAAACACAATTCTGAAAGGGCTCTCTGAAAAACTTGGATACCATATCAAGTTTCTCCTCTTTTACTTATTCATTGAATCCCACTGTCTTTTAATCCATTAAACATGTGTTCATCCTATGTATGATCAATATTTCCTCTGCATCTATAATAAAAAAGTCAGACACTAATCTTCTCTTTAACTACTGCCGTATATTTCATAAACAAAAATCCCACTTCTCAGTGGCTGACCTTCTCTTCCTCCGCGGCCCTCAGCACGCTCTCCCAGACGGCCCTGATCATCCCGATGTCTTGGTGTCGTGTGGTGTAGCAGTGGATCTGGACAATATGAGCCAGAGTCAAGCTGCCGATCACGGCCTCCAGAACCTTCTTCACGTGACTGCAGCACAAGCGGGTCTGCGTGTAGGTGCCGGCTTTTACCAACTGCATGGTACAGGGAACCAAAGCAATCTGACCTGCACAGAACACCACCTCATCCACCTGGAAAAGAGAACATACAAGGAGAAAATATAAAGGTGGTGGTATGGTAAAAACATACTGGCGTTCTCACAATGACAATGGCAGCGTGTTGGCGTTTAGCAGATATGATGTTTCGTGACTGTACCATCTTAGCAGAGCATGCTGGCAGCTAAGATGCTATTAGTCACCACAAAGCAGAGCTGAGGTGGACACTGGATAATTAGATATCAGTTTGGCTGATATTTGCTCAGTGTTATAATCCATCCTGAGGAGGTTATGAATGTCCATAGCATATTTCATCACAATCATTATTTGTTGAGACATTTCAACCTGAAATAGTGCTAAAGAAAAGCCAGGAGAGCAGAAAAGTCACAAGAATAGTGGAAACCATGAACGTTGGTTAAAATTTTTAATGCAATGTTTCCAATAGTTGCTCAAATATTTCCTTGAAGAACCAAAGCAATGGGCCCTGACATCCACCTTGATGGCAAAAAAATGTGCTTGTAAGGTAACATTTGGCAGCGATACCGAACAAAAGGAATACAAGCGTTGCCAATTACACCTCATAAAGCCAATGAGAAGTGAATTTGAGTCATGAATCCTAATAAAACAACATTTCATTAGCATATTAATAAGGCAATTATATAAATATTTGTGGATATTAAATCTCTTGTAAAGCAAAAGTGACCTCAGTTGGGGGTTTGCAATATACTGTCAAATGCTGTGTATTTATTTTCAATAAATTGCAGATCTCCGGCTATAAGACAGTGTATTACCCACTACAACAAAAAACAGAGATGATTAATTAGACACATATGAACTTGAACACTGTTAAACTGCAATTAGAGAAAAGAAAGCTATCAAACTCCAAAATTAGTTTTTTTTTTTGAAGTACACTATTCAATGAGGTGCTATAATCAAATTAACATTAATTATAAGTATATGCTTGATTAGCGGTGCATTAATTAACAAGTTCCACCTCTCCCGTTTTTCAGCATTTTATCACCAACAATTTTCATTTCACAGCTCTTAAACAAGCAGGTATTCTGTGAGAAGCATGCCAATATATCTCAGCGGCACTGGTGTTATTTATAAGCATAATTAACTATGTGATAATAAGCTCAATTCTCTGTTAAATACCTTTGTTAGAAATAAGCTCTTTGAATAATGAAGCCTGAAAAAAAATCTATCTGTTTAATGCAGACAGACGAATAGGGATGAAGAGTGGCATTAAGGAGGTCAGGCCTTTAGAGACCCTGCAGCTCACCACTGTTTGATATTGGATGGCATTAGGGCTGGACACTAGCTGCTGGTCAATGCAAATACTTGCTGGTGACATGTTGAGAATTTCAGAGACCCTGGAGCACACACAGATCTCCAGGGAGGATCAATTGATACATGACCCAAGACGAGGTCTTTTAGTGATCAGCAAAGACACAGTCAGATGTATCGTTTTTCACAATAAGATTACCAGGATTAGCGTTTGCTGTTTAAGACTTGGCGCCCCCTAAACCAAACCTATTCTACCACTTATTTGAAACACATCTTTTGGTTTCCTTGTTTGAATGAATTTAACTGTCTCACCAAAGCACATACAAAGGTGGTCATCAAACTTAACATACAGAATATTCATCATTTCGGAAGTGTCTAAAATCTGCCTGTTATGGAATACTAGCAGAACAAGATCCCAGCCACACAAGTGTTTCGCTACGGGGCAGACATAGTCATGGCTATTTCCATAATCAAATGGGTTTGCCATGATCCACAGCTCCTGGGTTCACTTGTCAACTTTGATGAATCTTCAGCTCCCATCTCTGCGACTCCAAATTATTGGGACAGCGCAGGAAACAAGAGATGGAGGGAAGACGAACAAGGGGAGTGGGGGAGATAAGGCCCTCACTGCTTTCAACCATGTGGATCAATCACCAGATCATTTACCTGCTCGCACAATCTGCCCAAGAGTCTGCATTACTGCGACTGCCGAACATAAAAGCCAGATTCCCACACATCAACAACAAATTGTCATTGGCATTCCATTTATGAGCCATCAAATGCCATCATATCCACTTCGACAAAGAGCAGCTCCATCAGGTTGGACGGGTGGCCAGAATCTCTTAACAAGCTCGTCCCCGTGAAAAGAAGCCCGCTCCATTCTGAATTCATAAAGGCCAGCTACCATTTGTCAATTTGAATATCAAAAGGGGCTAGCATGGGGCCCCTCGACTGTTAAAGGCACACTCCCATTGCTTCTACGAAGCAGGTGTGTGATGATCAATTATTAAGGATCCCACTCTGGTTACTCTTAGTGGGAGGTGGAATTGGGGATCTGGGGGTTTGTGGTGGTGGGAGAACATCTTTCTGTCTTGGACCTGGATGGGGGAGAGACAGTGGAGAAGGGAGAGGGAATACTATTTACATAAAATTAACAGTTCAAAAGAATGAGTTCACACACCAATCAAACTTGTTAATTGACTGTCAATGGTGTGTCCCTGAATATACAACACAACTACATTATTCATCTTAGGCCTTGACAGGGAAGACAGTCCAATTTGCATGGGCGTTCTAAACGTGATCAACAACCACAAAGCCACATGCATTTTTAATAGGCCAGAGATGGGATCCTTTAATATTCATAAGGGTCAAACAATTGCATATGACATTAAACTTTCTATAACAAGGTAAGTATTTTTCAAATGCTAGCCTTAGCAGTCTAAATGGCCCACAGAGAAAAGGGAAAATGTGCTGTCTTCCAGTAGTGAATCAATGTTACATGCTCACATTGGTTTATTTCTGTTCTTTCATTACTTCATAATATTTAATATATCCTGAGATAATTCAAAAGTTGATTAAAATATGATTAAAGGTTCGTCACCTGGTCCAAATGCAGATAGTTGTCTAGTCTTTTCTCCATGTTTAAGAACAAAATGATTCTTAGTTTGAACAGGAAAGCTGTGAACCACAGTATCTCAAATAGCCCTCGTAATAAAAAATCAACTTCAACACTAACTTTAAAACCATTTCTTAACAATCTCTAAGCCAAACATGCTTCCAAATAGCTTAACGACTGAGGAGACGCTCTTTCTCTTTGTGCTCAATACAAGCTAGGCTGTTATTGCTTTTGTATTTTATTGACCTTTATTCCACGGTTAAAACACCATGTTTTTTCTAATAAACCCAATGACATGTCCAAAGGTCACCATCCTCAAAGACATTCTTCCTTCCCATCTCGGCGAGGTGCCGACAGTAACATATATGTAAATGTACCCAGGAAGCGGTTGGCTGTGTCTGCTTCCAACCCTTAACAGTGTCTCATTTCTGTCTGGTGTGTCTGAGGTGTTTCTAATTGCAGTTTTTGTCAAAGGGCTTCCAGAGATGACCAGACAGTGCTAGACTATATTCACATTGGTGTTGGAGCCCTCTGGGCCCCCATCGTGTTGAGGACGTCTCCGAGTGTCATTAGCAGAGCCTTGGAATGGTATAGATGAACAAGGCCGGCCTGGATAAAATGACCTGGTATTGACGAACAGTCAGGTTTTTCTGCCTGGTTCCAAGGACAGAGAGAGGTGGAAAAGTGCTCCATCGCTCCTATCAGATATGCTAATGGTCACATTTCTCCCCATTGAGACCTCATGCATAATTTAACCAGGAAAATGATAATACAAAATGTGTAAAATAGGTTAGATTAGTGTGGTGTAACTTTTCTCTTATGCAAAGACACATGTAACCAAGCTAAGAGGCTAATGGCAGAACAGTATCCGCTGCAACAGAGTCATTAAATGCCAAATGTAATTAATTTGTGATATGTCCATTTATTGAAATGTCCCTGCATGTTTTGAGTGCTGTTTACAGCCTAACCATGGACTAAGGGAAGTCAGTGCATCTTCAAGAGCTCCAGGCCAGTGCTTTCCATCACAGACGTAAAATGGATGATTTTTGAAAGTCATATGCTTTTATTAAAATGGCAATATAGACAAAATGTTAAAGAAACAAAATGATGCCTAAGCAGCACTAGACCAGATTCAAACCACGGATGCTGTATTTACATGGTTGGAGCCGTCTGAAACTTGATATATAAGCGATACTTTACTTTAAATGGGGCACTTTTTGGTTTACTTTAATCCCTTATGAAACATTCTTAATTTACATGACAAATTTCTAAATATCTGCCTCGACTCTTTCTTTCTCTTTAGCAATTTTTCTCTTTACTTTAATATTTTAGGGTCGGCAAACAGCTCAAAATAGTTCAAAATGTGGGGATCAAAAAACTGAGGTTGAAGTTTTATTGAATGTATTTAAGTGCATATATTATTTCTGCTTTTTGGCGGGGATTTGATATGCAACGACCGTTTAATCCTTGTGTGGTGGATGGCAGTTTGTCAGGGATGTGTGCTGTGATTTCATCTTGAACTGGCTTCAAGTCTGTGGGGTTCTTTCAGCATTAGTGAATTCAAAGCAGATCACGTCTGGGAGTGGGAAATGATAAGAAATGGGCTCATGTTGTGCCGCGCCCTGAGGAAATCCTGCCTCTTCTGACACCTCATTTCTACAAATACAAACCTTTCAGGAGAACCACAACCTTTCTCCCTTCTACAGAATCTTTCACCATGTTAGTCTTCTCATTTAAGGCTTCATGGGAAGAGGGGAAGATATTTGCCTTTTTTTTTTTTTAATTCCCTCCTCTCTTTTTTTTCCGACTATCTCTATTTTTTTTTTCTTCCTGTTTGTGCTCCAGTTTGAGCCTAACCCCTGTATGCTCAACTGTCACACAACATCAGTGTTACTTAAACGGCGACATAAATAGCCGTATGAAGTGCACAAAGAAAGACAAGTATAAGGCATTTCTGAACGCATTCTCCCAGGTCTAAGATTGCACACTTATTCGGAAAACAAACGATAAGCACACGTTCAAAGCACACAATTATGACACTGAGAAATTTAGAAGAATACTCAAAATTTAATAAGCATAATGAGCCATTGTTGAGGCGATGTGTGGTCAGTCTGAGGGACACTGGCCTTTCCCC